GGTGTTCTCACAAAGCTGTGGACTAGAGGCTGCAGAGAACAGACTAAACACAAGTGAGAGTTGCATGTTGGCCTTCTCCTAAGCGGAGAGAGAGGCAAAACTGTAAACAAGAGGCACAAACTCTGTAAATGATGTTTGAAATAATAGGAATGCAGAGATTCCACTTTTAATAATACTGAGTGTTAGCGATAGCATATGTAAGGATATTTATTTCAAGAAATGTATGCAAATATTTTTTAACCTTGCAGGATTCCTCTTAACGTCACTTTGAGATAGTTTACCATTGATGACTAAGGTATGACCCACTGGTGAGGGGACAGGCTTTGGGAAGCAGAGAGGTGTATACTTAGAGCCAGATCCTGTAATCCGATGTAGATTTGTAGACCTTTATGTAGTTGTTGGAGCTATGCATATTCCCAAGGGTCTGCCCACACAGGTCACATTGCAGGATTGGGGCTGGAGTGGTGTATGAATATAAAATGTGCTGGGAGGCCTCTAAAAAACTGCTTGGTTATATTAAAAGAAGTAGTACTGAAAACTAGAAGCCAAATTTATTATATGGCTGTGCTCTGCTGGAACATTTGATCTTGCTGTATTTAATTCAGGAAGTCTTAATGCTGTGTGCTCGGTGCATGACTGTAATGTCCATTAATGCTAGTGAAACATAAGCATACATAGAAGGGGGAAAATGTATGCTGTGTCTTCCACGCAGCTGAAATGTTTATTTCAGTGATAGGAAGCAACAAAACGTAAGAGAAAATTGTTAGAATGGCTTGAAAGACTATTTGAAGAAGGAAAGCCATCAGGCAAAATGCCACCATATTTGAGGACATGTCAGACACTAATTGCCACCCTCCACCATGCTGGAGCAGGTGAAGGGCTGAGTGGTCAGGAGTAATGGTCTGCTAAGTTGTGTCCGTCTGTCTGGACATATCCCGTTCTTAGTTTTCTCGTGATTGCTTGTATGGAAGGAAATGGCACACGCCTGTGTTGTGAACCACAGTTTTGAAAAGGTCAATTGAAATTGGAATTTATATGTGAGGTGAGATGCTTAATGTCTTCATTATCAGGTCAACACCCAGAAAATACTTTCTCACTTCATTCATACAAAGGAGGACTCCAGAGCTGAACTCTGAAATGCCCCTAGTCTGCGGGTGAATAGTAAATGGCAGTGTGCATTGTGTTGCTTTTCAGAAAAGCCATTTCTAAGCACAGGAACGCTGTGAAGTCTCCAAAAGGGTTTCTCTTGGTGTTTGTTTCACTCTCCTCAGCTTTTTTTATGTTTATGCATTAAGATTTGTGAGCCTGGCCTTTTCTTCGCAAAGCCTTCCGTCCTGCTCCAGGATCTTAACAGCTCTTAGCTCTGCTGTAACCGTTGGCAAAAGGCTGAAGGCAGGTGGCCTCAAGAGGAAACGCTGGTGCCAGTTGCCTGCGCACTGCTCTTCTACTGAGTGCCGACCCCAGTGAAGGCACTGAGGTGCGCCGATTAGCGAGATTTAATCTGGTCTCCGATCCTGCAGCGTAAGGTAAAGGGAATTTTGTCTGCCCTCGCAGGCCAGCGTTTGCCTCTCCTAACAGCAGGATCTAACCGGAGCTGGGAACACAGCTGTCCCAGGCTCTTCTAAAAGTTATTGCTGAGCGCATCACCTCCGAAGAACAAGTGAGATCCAATCCAGAGTCCTGATACATCCATATCCAGTGAATCCAGACTCTCTTATTTTCACAGTGTATTTAATTTAGTCTCACCTTTAATGTAATCACACGGATGTCATGCTATTTGTGAAACCGATGACCTTTTTTCTCTTCTGCCTTGAACTGTATAATTTGCACATGAACTGTGAGCCTGCCTTTATGCCTGACTTGCTGAAGAAGTTTCTTGCCTGCCTGGGAGCCCTTTCCACAGCCCATACCTGGTCCCTTCTTTGGGGAACCAGACTGAGGAAGGTGGTTGACCTGCACCTTTATTCTCTGCTTTAATAATGAGTTTGATAATAGCTGCATTACTAGTGGCAGTTTCTCTCATATTGGGCATATATTTGTGTAGCTTTATGTTGTCCCCTCCCAAGATACAGGCAGTTGGTTTGAATGTAGCAGACATATGTGCCGTAAACAAACCGTTGAAAACATGGAAGCAGCCACTGCTGAATGAACTGCAAGTTGAGCACTTTTGTCCCTCTTGCATGTAATTTTTTTCCTAAACAAAGGACTGTATTCCTAGAATCTCATCCGGTAATTCTTAGGATTCACTGCATTTTATTGAGGCTTGTAGGCTAGTCCTCTGTTTCATATAACATATCCTTACATTCTCTGCAGTCAGGGGTGAGTCTTGCTTAACCTCCTTGGCTCTTTGGCAATAGGGAAATAGTGCAATCAATTTACTGGGCTATTTTATGTTACTAGCAGTTAAATAATAAGTGCAATTAATTGAATAGGGCTGTTCTTGAATGCTGAGGGCTGGACCAAGAGATTTCCTTTATAATTTGTAGTGCCACTGAAGCTTTTTGCTGATGTATACTCCATTAAATTACAAACCTGGAGAGTCCTTTGTTGGGGTAGGTTGTAGTTTACCCCAGTGCAGTTTGGCAGAATTCTCCTGTAGACGTAAAACTTGTCTGTATTGTAAAACATGCAGTTAATTATTAAAAACAATGGGGGAAAAAATCTTTTATAACACACTTCCTACTTCTGATCTATGTCATGGATCAGTGTCATATAGAAATTTTCTTGTGCATATAGTGAGCCCATTGATTGAGGAACACTAATTTTCTAAAATAGATTTAAAAGAACAGTAAAGAGGGAATACTGACTGTTCTTTAGAACATTCAGTATTTTCTTTGACTTTTTCCAAGTTATGCTTAGTTTGCTTTTTTTGTAACATCTGAAGAGCAGCAAGATTTTTTTTTTAAACAAAGTGTAGAGCTGTTGGTTTGTAGGATTCTTTGCTGCTCTCTAGACTACTTTTTAGTACTGAAATTACAGATGAAAGGCCATCTCTCAAACAGTTTCTTTCTGAGCTGCGTAAGGCAACATAACAATAGCTATTTATATAATGCATATGCTTTCTTTCCCTGTTAGCTATACTTTGAAAGACTTATTAGTCCTAGAGCCCTACACGTTCGGAGAATAAAAACCTCCAACGTTTGACATCTTTAAATAAGCAACCAAATGTTATAAAGAACAAACCTCACTTACAGTTAGGAAACAATATTTACATTTAAGGTTGAAAAGCCAGGATGTAGGAAAATTTTGCTAATTTGGAAGGTGACCTTTAAGTGCACCAAAACCAAATAATTTGTAAGCTATGGCACAGGGCACATTCCTGCAAAATTTGTGTGAATACTGCTTTAGTGGTTCTTGAAAGACAAACAAAGAGACCTGGAATGAAATCTTTATCCCTCTCCCAAATAAGATTGAAGCTAACAAAGGCATACAGCAGCGCTCTTTCAAAGCTTTCCATTAAAATGAAGGCTCTGCAGCACAGCTAATGAGATGGCTCAGAGTGGAAAACAATCTGTTTTTAAGAATGTTTAGATCAAAAGTAATTTCTAATCTATGAAATAAAGTCGCTTTTCAATACCTTTCTTTCACTAGTAAAGCTTTTTATGTTTGCACTATTTACTTCAATCAGATGTTTTCAATTTTACTTTTTTCTTCCTGAAAATACTTCCTAGGGTTAGTCAGTAGTAACCAACAGCATTATTCGTTTTCTCTCTCCCCTATTCACCCACCCCCACACATTAAAAAAATGAGAAAAGAAGAGGGGGAGGAAGAAAGAAACATCTTTTCTTAAATGATTTGCAAGCATCTGTGCTTTAAGCTACTTTTTATGAACACTCCTTAGTAATGACTCAAGGTAAAAAAGCAGAAAAGCATCCAATGTTAGGAAATTGCAATCCAATACCATGTAATTTAAACCTGCCATTGCCTCTCCTGTACTAAATGACATACAGATGGGTAGTTCTGTTGCCTCTACTTTGGGAACACAATTGGTCTTTTTATGAGTGTATATACATTACTAGCAAAAAATATTTTTGTTCGGACTGTTTATTTCTAGTTGTACCATATTTTAATTTCTGTCATAATTAGAGTGCTTTTTCCCTGCTCTATTTTGTCAGCTAATTTTTGCAAGCAATTATCAGTGTTATTTGAATATTTGGCAATTTCTGTTATACTTTGGGAGTTTTCATTCTCAAAACCAGTCTTATTGTTATTTTTTCTTTCCTGATGAGATGTGAGTTTTTGCAGTATACAAATGGTTTTTTTACAGTAATCCTTATGTGCTTCTTGGATTTTCTGTGTGAACTAAGAAAAGCGTAAGACAAGATTTTCGAAGGAGGGTAATTTCAATAGCAAACCTAATTTTTACAAGTTTATTGTTGAACCTTGTACAGCTTTATGCATAAAGAAATCACTTGGTCCTCGGGGCTCCTATTCTAGTGCTTCAACAGCAAAAAAATACAACGGTTAATGTTATAAAGTAAAAAGATGAGGATGCAACTAGAAGTTAAATCAACCTTATTGAAATTCTGAAGACTTAGAATTGGTTTTCAGCTACTTTAGAGAGTAATGAAATTGTTGGATGTTGTGGCTGAACATCATATGCCCATTACCATAAGTCTCCAATATAGATGTCTTGTAAAGAACGTTTCAGCTGTAGTTGGGGTTTTTTGCAGATTTTTTGTTTTAATGGTGGGAAAATGTTACTTTCTTGTGAATGATTGTGTGCACAACAGTTTAGTGTATAACACACCAAAGGGCTTTGGCTGTAGCGCATTGTCACTGCTCCAGTGGAATCACCTGGCTCTCAAGCAAAATTCTTTTTTAAACTTGGATTTGAAGAAATAATCAGCTGCAGTTCAGCTGAGCCATTTTTCGTGCATTAGGGACCGGTCTGGTCATTGACAAGTGAATGCAGAAGCTATGCTGTGGCCGTCTGCCAAAGCAATTATTCAGGATTTAAGCTAAAAAGGCTCCTTCTCCCATATCCTCTCCCTTTGCAGGGTCATGTAGGGATAAAAAGGACTGTAAGGTGGTCTTTTCCCAGGAGGAGCTGAGGAAGCGGCTGACACCCTTGCAGTACCATGTCACTCAGGAGAAGGGGACTGAAAGGTAAGGCAGGATGAAGGAAACACAGTCCTCAAAAACACAGGCATCTTTCTTTTCTCCCCCTCCTCTTACTGGTGCTTCCTCACCTTCCCCACCAAGTTGGTTTGTGTTTTTGTTTGGTTTTTCTTTTTTTCCCCCAGGATTTCTGCGCTTGTTTACTAACCCCTACAAATTAACACCACTGCAAAGACAAGCATCTGCAGCACAGGGGCCGAGGCCAGGGGTCTTGTGTGACTTTTTCTTTTAATGAATGCTGCATGTCTTATAAAGTCACCGGGCTCATGTTTAGAGCCTGTTTTTAGTTTACTACAAAATGTGTGGAAGTAATAGCGGTTTAGGTACACTTTTTTTGGAAGACATTGCAGTAAGCAGAACCACGAGGGAAATGGCCCTGTGCCAGGAGGCTGGAGTTTTGAAGGTGGCCATTGTAAGTATAGACGTTTTGGCTGCAGAAAGAAGGTAGCATAATTTAGTTCTTTTCCACCCCACTCCAATTTCTTTTTGAAGCACATGTGGAGAAGGTATTTATTGGCTCATTTGTGGTTGGAATGTCAAAAATTTTCAATAACTGCCCTCACATGGCTTTAGTCGCTGGAAGCCAGCCCCAAGTCCTGGAGGAAAAAAAAAAAAAGGACTTGCTTCCAAGACTGTTTTTAGTGAATAAAGTCTCTCTCTCAGCTGATTCCAGCATGAAGGTAACTTGCCAAGGCCTAGCCATTTTTTTGTTGTCTAATTTATACCACTGAGCTTGGCATAAGGCCCTGGCTTTACCTCTGCTCCAAACGTACTAATGATGTAACTGCTTGTTTTCATTCATGACCTGAAAGGGCTCTCCACCGCACGTGGGGTCCCGGTGAATCGGCAGCACTCTTCCTGACAGCGCGTACCCGTGGCGGAATTTGCTGAGGGAGGGCTGTGGGGACAGTCCCCCTCTCCGCCCCAGCCCCCTTCGTCCGCCTGCAGCCCCGGAGGGGCCGGGGCCTGTTGGCCTCTGCCGGGAGGCCTGCTTTCCCCCCGGCCCTCCTCGCTCTTGTGTACGGGACCAACAACGTGATTTAATGCACACAAACAATCGGAGATTAGGTCATTCTTAAAAATCCTGTTTATAAAAAAAAAATTGGACCTCATAAAAAGGGTGAAAGGATAATAAAAACAAGCTGCCGAGCACATAGGCTTTTTGTTGGGCTAGCGCAGCTGATTCGTATTAGATGAATGACCTCCTAGCCTCTTAGATTGTTAACTTAGAAAAATATTCCCTTAAAGCTGTAATATTGCTTTTCAACTGAAAATATAAGGCGCACACAGCTTGAAATGCTGGACCAATTATTTCATTTTCAGCTACAATGCCTCTGTTGCCCCGGCAGCCCATCTCGGCCTGACCCAGCACCATGGCTTCCCAGCTCTCAGGTGGCAGGCAGGCACCCAAGCGCTTCACACCCCTGCCTTGGCAGCTGAGCCCACCACCCACACCATTTCCTAAAGACAGACCTAGAGAAGCGTGCCAGGTTGAGCTATGCCTCAAACAATCCGCGTTTACAGAAGCTTACGTTTCACTTGCCAGATAGCAGAAGATTCTGGTTTTTCCCTTTTTGTTTTTGTTGTTGTTGTTGTTCTGTCCCTTGAACTGTGGGACAATTGGCTTCCTCTTGCATGATACATAACACCTGAGGCACACTAATGAGGACATTCCCCTTTTCCTGTGCCTGCTTTATTTGCTGCCTTTAATAAAAAACAACTGCCAACTTTTAAATTGTGGGGTTTTCCTGTAACATTTCTCTAAAGTCTTAGCTAATTTAATAATTTAAAAACCCCTAAATTCCATTATTTACTTTTAAAATGTAGTGTTGTTGTTTTCCCAGTGCCTTTGAGGGGGAGTACACACATCATAAAGCTCAAGGAATATACAAATGTGTTGTTTGTGGGACTCCTTTATTCAAGTGAGTATGCTAAATATAGTTTTGAGATTTCTGTCTCTTAGTTTATGTGCTGTGTTCCTGTATAATCTTGTGTGTATTCCAGTACTTACCTCATTGTATAAGATAATTTAGGTTATTCAAATTGGTAAGGGATACCAGAGAAGCCATGTAAGTAATAAAGCTATAGTAAAATTGGTCTTATAGTAAAGATAAAAAATTGTAGTAAATAGATAAGATAGTAAGATAACATTCAGGTAAAATAGGTAATTTGACAGAAAAAAAGGAGTAAGTTTTTTGTTTGTTTGTTTGTTTAATATGCAGCCATGCCACGTAATTGTAACACAATCTTTCACTGCACTGATAGATGCTGAGTTTTGGCTGTTAGCATTACTCACAGGTAGCTTTAAGATCCCAGTCAGCGATGCTGCATCATTGTATCTGATAATGTAGAAAAAAGTAGATGCTTTTTTAGAATGCAAACACTTAAGAAGACAAAACCCGGGAAAATTGCATTGGTTACTGAATTTTCATCCATCCTAGTTAGCACATATGGAGAGCTGCTTTAGGAACTGAAGCAAGGATTAAGAAAGAAATAACTTTTGTGTCTTGCATGAAAAACACTCTTTAGAAGTACTGTGGGAATTATGGCCCTAAAATTGGTGCTAGAAGCAGTGCTGATTGAATTATCTCAATCACTGCATTGTTCTGCATGAATTCAGTTGTTGTCATGTGTTTTTTTCTTACTTCTGTCTGCTTGTGTTCATTCTGATGAAGAATTTACTTTTTTTTGGCTTGTTTTTCCCTCAGTTCATGCTAACTCAGTCCCTCTCACTTGAAGAGGTACCTTTACAGCAGCATGAAGCAAGATGGTCAGGATACTGCTAATAATAGAGAAAATTGGATCAGTAATAAGTTACAAAGAAAATAAAATTGATGTAGCTTCAGAATCACCAGATGTGGCAGTGATAGTTGTTCTCAAGAGACTGTCTGTAAAGATGAAAGAAGCTCTTCATCTCTGTTACGTTTGATTCCTCTGTTAGGAGGATTACCTGCAGAAACTTCGGTAATAACGTGAATCTTTTGAGTTGGAAAACTGATCGTTATGAACTCAGCTAAGGCAATATTCTCATGTCGTGTGTGACTGAGGTGCTTGTCTTGGGGGTACAAAGTGGGGATCTAAAGTCTCCATAACCTGATTTTCTACTCTGCCATTTAGACATTCCCTTGCTTACTATAGCTAAATATTTATGGGGGAAATCCTGGTTCTGTTGAAGTCAATTAAAATTTGGTAAACAAATACAATGGAGTCAGGATTTCACCTTTTACCTTCAAGACTGACTGACGTCTGCTGGAGAAAGAGTGGGTTTTTTTTGTGGGGTGAGACTTGGACTGCAGTAGTTCACATAAATGAATGTGAACTAGTTTCCAGTTGCTTTCACAATCCATTTAATATGGGAAAAAACTGCAATATGAGACTTACCTGTGATTATCTCAAGTGCACAGTATGCTTTGGCATAGTCTAGACTTTTTTTGAGTTAATGAGTTGGATTTTTCTATGTGAAATGAACTATGTGGAAATGTCCTTGTTTTCAGATTCTCTTTGAGACTCCCCATGGATTTTATGGAAGGAGAGAGAGGGAGAGCGGGAAGTTGTTTGGTTTTGGTTTTTTTGTTGTTTTTTTTTTTTAATAAATCCCAGGCCAGTGAACACCTGTAAAAAAAACACCTTGCTGATTGTGTCCAAAGGCTGGACTAATCGACAGTCTCGCCAAAGTCTCTTATTGCTTTGTGCGCTCTTGCCATCTCTGCACATCAAATTCATCCAGTTGTTCTGAAGTGGCTGGCAAGGGTGGTAACAAATGGAGAAGCTGATAGGGATCCATCTTCTTTTGTTTACTGACCCCAAAATATCAGTATGTAATGTCTTCCTCAACTAGGGAAGATACATTTCCTGTATCTTGGTGACTGCTTCAGCCCTGATAGCTAAAAAAGTGAGAAGGAAACATAGATAAGAGAACGCAAAATGTGTGCTATTTACTGAATTTTCCCCATAGAGTATAAATCACCAAAGTGTTTTCTCAGGAGTAAGGTGGTAGTACAATACAAATTCCATTGCCCCATTTGAAATGCAAGTTGTTTTTGTGGTGGTGTTTTTGTTTGAGTGGTTTTTTTTTGTTTGGTTTGTTTTTTTTTTTAATTTCCAGACAGTCATAAGAAACTTGCATTTCCATTTGTTTTTCATTGGGTGTCCATTAATTTTTTTTCTTTATGCCATTGTAATCTGTAAATATATATATTTGGGCTATGGACCTGCCAGTTTAACCAGGAAAGAGACTGGAGCTTCAGCAGTAATACTAACAAACTTCAACTTTTAACATTTCTGATTTACGTTGTTTCATTACCATGTAACACACGAGGTCAGGGAACACATGAATTTTACACTCCAGATGAAAGACCTGGATTTTGGTACGTCTTTAAAACAGAACACTGTCTCTATCACAGGAAAGATAAAAGAAACAATTAGGAATTTAACATCTCTTCATCTACCTACTTGTACTAGTGTTATGAGAAACCTCCCAAGCTTTATGGAGAACATGCTTTAGCTTTTTCCACAATCAAAGGTGCCTCACACATAAAATCCATAATCATGCCATTGAATCTAATTACTCCATCTCTGAACTTTCACGCCAGACAGTCTCCTACATCCCAGTACAGCTGCCTAAAGAAAGCAATAAATGAGAGAGACAATAAACTAATCTCAAGGACCTCCTTTTCTGCAAGCCAGCTCTTATGTGGTTTTGTGTTACACTTACTCCAACCTAGCTGCAGGCTTATGCTAGAAGAAGCAGCCCTGCTCCCTACATGTTTCTATAGCGTGTTTTTTTTCATAGCTTCCCCTTCACTGGACCTCACCTGGTGTGGCTGGACCATGTCTCGATGCGCCACATTGATCTGACAGAAGACGAACCAGCCAGAGAAAAAACCCTCAGGCTTATCAACTATACCTGCTCATGTTAATTTTTTGCAAACTGTGTTTATCATAGGCGGACAGCCTGTGCGGCAAGGTTGGGTGTTTCTGTATCAGTTCACAGAAAGCCACCTATGCTACTCGAATCCTCAGTGTTTTCTAAGGGCCAAATGTATTTGCAAGATTGCACCTACTTTAATTTTTCAAGGTATTTTCTTGTACACCATGCAAAAATACCATTCTGTCAACAGCCATGGCAAGAGGAGGTTAAAATGGACCTGGGTGAAATCCACAACTTGTGCTATTACCATAGGAGAGGAGCTGTTCCATATTTAATAAACCACGGTCCTGTCCTTTACCATGTGCAAGACTGTGTGAGAAAGATGTGGTATAGAGGGAACTGGGAAAGCTGGGAGAATGATTTCCTTTTAAAAAAAGAAATATTATTGTTGTGTCAGTTTCCAATTTTTAGGGCCAAGGAATGCATTGCCAAGTCCTCATAAATCACCCACTGCTGCCTTTATTGCTTCCTGGAAGGAATTCTTGGTAATGGTGTTGGCTCTTCTGAACATGCACTAAGAGAAATTGCAACACCTTTATTCATGTCATGTTTTCATTTGATTTTTGTTGAACTATGTCAGGTCTTCTCAACATCTCTCAGACATCCAAAAGCAAATAATGAGAAAAGCAAAGCATGGCTGGGCAATATTGCAGTGCTATTAGCATTGTACCACTCTTGACTTCACAACACAAGGGAGGATTTCAGTCACCAGCCTAGATCTATACAGGGAATTTCCTCAGTGCTTAATTAATAGTCTTTAAGCTTTCCTAATAATCTTTGTATCTTTTGAGCGGGCCAAATCACAAATCAACATGGGCTGCCTGGCTAGGAGAGCCCGTATGAAGTAATGGCTGTACCGCCTCTAATAAGATCTAGTAGAACTACTTGAGCAACTTCATCCACCCTGACTGACTCTTAGTTTCCTCACAAAACTGTCAAAACCAACAGCTTCTGTTTAATAACATTTGTTTGGAGTAAGTTGGCTCTCGCTGGTGTAGGAATCATAGAATTGTTTAGGTTGGAAAAGACCTTTAAGATAGAGTCCAGTCATTAACCTAGCACTGCCAAGCCCCCCACTAAACCATGTCCATAAGTAAGTGCCACATCTACACATCTTTAAATACCTGACTCCACCACGGCCCTGGGCAGCCTGTTCCAATGCTTGATAACCCTTTCGGTGAAGAAATTTTTCCTGATACCCAATCTAAACCTCCACTGATGCAACTTGAGGCCATTTCCTCCTGTCCTATTGCTTGTTACTTGGGAGAAGAGACTGACCTCCACCTCACTACAACCTCCTTTCAGGCAGTTGTAGAGACTGATAAGGTCTCCCCTCAGCCTTCTCTTCTCCAGACTAAACAACCCCAGTTCCCTCAGCAGCTCCTCATAAGACCTGTTCTCCAGGCCCTTCACCAGCTTCATTGCCCTTCTCTGGACACGCTCCAGCACCTCAATGTGTTTCTTGTAGTGAGAGGCCCAAAGCTGAACATAGTGTTCGAGGCGCAGCCTCGCCAGTGCTGAGTGCTGGGGGACAATCACTTCCCTAGTCACACTCTTCACTCTTTCTGATAGAAGCCAGAATGCTATTGGCCTTCTTGGCCACCTGGGCACACTGCCAGCTCAATCAGTCAGCAGGCAGTATTACCAAGCAGTTCTCATCCAAACGCAGATTTTTACTAGGTCTTGTGTAGCTCCAAGAAGCTCAAGAATCTTAAAACTTGGAAGAGTTTCTGCAGTTTTTTGTGACCGTCCCTTAAAAAAGTCTGATGGAGTTAAAAATAAGTAAAGTTGATATCATTGAGCATTGGTTTCTTCTTGCTTCATCATTTTTTGGTTGACACCAGCTGTTGTTTTGAGTCTGCCACGTCTTTGCTGGATGACAAATGGTTAGACACTCCTAATCATCTCACCAGAAATCAAGACAGCAGAGTTCTTGTCTTCCTCAGAGCCATCTAGAATCTGGAGGTTTAATCCGCCTCTGAGGATGACTAC